AAAGTAAATGAAGTATGTTTTATTTCATTTCCAAGATTTTATGTTTAGTTTAGTTCTAAACCAGCTGTGAAATCACGTAATTATATAATGTGCATTAAGCGATTTATGTTATCCGTCTGTTCCGTTATCCGTCACAACTAGGGTTGTACCGAATATTCGCTTCGGTATTCGCTTCGGGGCCGAATAGTGGACCTATTCGGTATTCGGCCGAATAGTTGCGGTCGGGCTGAATTCGAATAGTAGTTACCTTACACCGGCTTCTGCATACACGGCCTTAAAACTGACAACATGGAACGATTGGTTTAGTTGAAAGCTAATGCAGCTTTCATGCATTATCTAAGCTGTCGGTGACAATTTCCAAGTTTAGTTACTTGTTATAATACTTAGGATTCTTTCATTCCTAGTTATTAGTTACCACAGATTGACTGAAAGATACAAAACATAAAATGATCTTAAATGTTTACTATTCTGTACGAATACTAACGAGAAATGGAAAGAATACAAACTTCGCCCACATCCAAGTCGATAATATGAAAACGGAAACATATAAGTACTTGGTTGCAAACTTCAACTGCTCCAATGTGCTGAGAGAATAATACAATCTAGAAATAAAGTATACTATGCCCTTCAACATCTGCTAAAGTCAAAGTGCTGTCTCGCAACACCAAGATCAAAATATATAAAACGTTGATAAGACCAGTCGTTTTATATGGCTCTGAAACTTGAAGCAGAAATAAAAGAGACGAGGCCTTATTACAGGTTTTCAAAAACAGTCTTGCGACAAATCTTTGGACCCATCAATGATGCTAACAGCGGGCAATGGAGAGTGAGAAGCAACAACGTAACACCTAATCTGTTTAAACCACCATTGATCACTGGCATCATGAGAGCTAACAGACTAAAATGGTTGGGGCATATTGAAAGAATGTCAGATGACAGAGAAGTAAAACTGTATACACCTGAGAGAGGAATAGGCGTAGACCACGAGGCAGACAAAAAAGAAGTTCAAGAGATAATGTCCAGCCTGACCTGCAAACACTATGTCACAAATTGTGAAGAGAAGGCCACCCAGAGAGATGAATGGAGACGAGCGATATCTTCAGCAGGAAACCTCAAGGGATCAGAATGCTGAAGGAAAAGATGACTATTCTGTGCTACTTTATGCGAAGTAAAAGTTCAGCGTACATTTGACATTATGCATGTGTGTGTGTGTGTGTTTTTTTTTTTTTTAAGACATATTTTAAACACTATACACTATTCGTATTCGTATTCGTATTCGGTCGAATAATTGGTCCCGTTATTCGTATTCGGCCGAATAGTGAAAATCACTATTCGGTACAGCCCTAGTCACAACCTTGGCCCTGACGGTGACGGTTAATCGAAGTTAAACTGTACCAGACTTTAATGGCCAATCCCATCATTCCTGGCTTTAGACCACAAAGATCTGATAGCTTTTAATCGTTGTTAACTAAAGAAAACTAGCTGTATATGCCAATCTCGGTGACAACATCCTATGTGGATCTCAACTGTGTCAGTCCTAGTGTCACACATAAAACAGTTGGAATAGATGGTGATTTAGTTTCTGAATTCACTGACATTTTTCGCAAGATGTTAAATACACACCAAATAGACTGACACAAAAAGTGCAGAATTCATAGCTTCCGTTTTATCCCTCTCCCGAATATCTCACGATCTTACGATACAAATACAGTTCCAGAATACGCAACAACCTGTGTAGTTAGCAGACAGGAGGAAGAGGAGGGTCAGGGGCCAACCAACACGAAGAAGGGCAAAGGATATAAGAGACTACTTAAATATGAAAGTACACGAGGCGTGAGAGCTGGCGAGAGACGGTTTTTTTTTTTTTTTTTTTCAAATCAGACCGTGTCGACAGCGAAGTTCTGCAAAGGCCCTGCGACATGGTAATGATGCTATTTGGCAAGGCACATGCTGATGATGAAATGTATACATCCATCATTTACTGGACAAATTGTTGTTGATGTCTCCATCTGCCTGCGTTATTTTTATTTTTGTGGATTTCTTTTAGTGGTAGTTGTGATACGAGACTAGAATATCTTGCTTGTCGCTGTTTAGCATACAAGGTACAGAGAACATTCCGTATTCTCCAAGAACTCTTTGTACTTGCTACACGATATGGTTGCCTCTAGACCCCTACGTTAACCCTTATCATAAATCACAGGAATGGACAATATGGCTGTCTCACATACTTGTCTCGCATGTCATGGTGGCACTCAACCTGCAGCAACAAAAGCCACAGATCAATAATCGATAACCGTACTGATTTGCTGTAATCTTTGAATTAGGTTTGCCGTTAAACAGAGACGGTAGTATCTGAAGATATCGTGTCTCTGGTAAACCTGATCATATCAAACATGATATGATTTCTGTGGGTTGGATTTTGATTGCAGTTCAATGGAACATGCAGAAACACTAATAATAAGGTAAAGCTTTCGGTTTTCATATTTCAAAATAAGGAAATTACGATTCTAGAGTAACTCCAAATGTCTTTATTTACCATTATGTGATGATAGTGTAGGACAGGACTGTCATGAGCAGTATTTGGGGCCGTGTGGCTAGTGCAGTTGTCACGAACTGTGCAGATTATACTTTTTATCCCCCCTCCCCTGACAAAAGTTTTCTTTCATCCTTTAAACGAGAATCGAACCCAGGTCTCCCTTCCTTATGATAACCGAACGTCCTAAACACTCAGATAGCCGCTGTTCCAATTACAACAACAACAGCAACAAAAATCCGACCCTTCGACATATCCTGCCGCGTACTCCATTTCCCCCAACTTTTTCACAATCTATAATTATTCTCCCAAGTCGGTTGCCCCCCTCCCCTCCCCCACCCCGCCCTCGCCCCATGGGTGTAAGTGAAAGAATATTCTAGTTTAATCAGTATCCCTTTCAATAATGAATCGAACTATGTCTAGTGGGTCAGCAGGTAAGCATGTTATATAGTGAACACCTGTGGCAAACCACATGTTTCAAGGAACTGTAGTGCTTATGTCTAAAATTATGTCACATTTGTTTTGTAAGAGTAATGTGTTCTTGGAATTATGTATTTTACATTTGTCAACAGTGGAGGTGGGATCTCTTTATAAAATAGCATTACTGTTTCCCCCGTCTCTTCCGCTGAAATTTAAACAAACGAACACAAAACCGGTTGCCTATTATGGCATGATATTATTGTATTACACCCCAATGTTTTAAACCCAACATTACAATTACAGAGATACCAGTTAGCATAGCGGTTAATGCATTAGCCAGCCCGAAATGTGGTGTGAGTTCAATTCTCGACAGAGGCAGTATCTCGACCCTCCCTCCCCCCCCCCCCCCCTTTTCCTGTTTTCTCTCAGTCTGAGATTGTCAATCTAAGAGGAGGGGAAATAACAGTCTGCATACATAATAAAACACATCTGCATGCAAAACTCAAGTTCAGTAACAAGACGAATGTCCACAAATGGGTGAACAACCAGAACTTGCTGCCGGCGATTACATCTGGTGAACAATCAGAAGAAGCGACTGTTCGAATGGAACCGAACAGAAGAAATCCCAGAAATCTGTTCTACCTTATACAACAGTTCTACTGGGCCACCTGCGGTACGAGATAACTTGCAGTCAATATGTAAGTGGGCGTCTTCAGAATATACTGAAGTCATGTTCTTGTATAAGAAAGATTCAACGAACACATTATGCTGAAATATTATACTCATGAAGAGTCCCAAAATGAGGCCTAATTAATTGATTCGCCACCCCCCCCCCCCCCTTTTTTTTAATCAAGTGTGTGCAGATTTTTCAGGTACTCGATTGGTAATTGTATTATTATAAACACAACCAGTGCTTGATATGTTATTTTTAAATGAAACTGTTATGGCTCTACCAATCGGCGTTGTTTTTATTTAAAGAAATTCAATTGTAATGTAATAGAAGTAACTAGTTTCTTAGGAGATGTGAAGTGTTAAACAGGTAATTCTCTAATTATAGACATACATAATGGGATAGGATAACCAGCACACTCACTAAGGTCATATCTTTTCCTTGAAAATTCACGAAGTTGTTTTTTTTGTGTCAGGCTGATTGGATGACAGGGCCGTACAGCAAAGAAAGATAACATTAGCATATATATATGTATATACATAATGACAACTGGACCATATACGTACGCTAGCCAAAAGAAACAGTTCTATACGTGGAAAGATAACCTCAACGGGTCCCGACACGGGACGCAATTTATCGTTATTTTAAAGCCCCACCCCGGCTTTTGCCAGGGGCCTTAATATATCCTAACGGTTGAACCTCTCCCTGGGTGATTCACCTGTTGTTTATCGCTTGGTGGATGTCCTGCTGGGGTTGAATCTTACTTACTTCAAGAGATAGACTAAAACAGTATGAGTGAGTGCATTTCAGTATACATACACACACACACACACACACACACACACACACACACACACACACACACACACACACACACACACACACTTATACAGTTGTGCAGTATTTGATATTCTTGGATGGGGAAAAAGGGGGGGGGGGTGGGCGGTGTGGGGTGTAAATTGTAAGAACTGACAGAAGGCAAGCAAAAACACCATTGTTGCATTATGATTCAACTGCATACACAATTAACAAATTCAGTTTGAAGACTGTGCAACATAACGATGATGCTGATGCTTCTTATTACTGCTGAATAACCAATACTGACAAAGAGAAACAATGAATTTAACAAAAAGGCAAGGTTACATAAATATAAAGCACGACGCCTCTTCATTGTGTACGGGACTTTTTCAAGAACTAATATAAAAAGAACAGGATTAAGCACGTCGTGGATTATTGTGATTCAATAAATGTGGATGGATAAGCGCTTTGAAAGAATGATAAGTAAGCTGGAATAGACAGTGAGAGATAAGAACCGATGTGCCTCGAACAAACCAAGCCACTGATAAAAGGGAAACAACACAGTCAATCTTAGCTTACCTTTTTGTACTGTAGGTGAATAGATGCATTATCCTCCTTGGCTTCAGTAGCTTTGTCAGCCATGATGCATTCCTGTAGGTAAAATTAAGATTTGCATCACCAAGCAATCTACTGATAAGAATACACACACACGCGCATGTTTATATATATATACTTATTTATTTATAAATACCTTTATGTGTGTGTCTGTAAAATGCTATTAGACTCAAACGTTTATATCCTTAAAAAAATTATATTCTGTATCTTCGTTTTCAGCATGAAATTTTTTATTTGAAGCTCCACCCTGGCTCTTGCCGGGGGCCGCAATATAGGTAGGCCATAAATATGGCCAAATGTCTGAACGCGGTTTCTGGGACCTCTCCACGGCGATCCTCATCCGCATGGTGGCACTTTGTGTCATCGGGTGTTTATCGCTTGTGTGATGCCCTGGTGGAGCAGAAAGTCATTCAGTCAGTCATCCTTCAAAAAGTCAGTGCTCTTTGTTACTGAAATAATTATTGATTTTTAATTTTTTTTTTTTTTTTTTTTTGTATCTAGAAACCATGAGTTGTAAACCCTTTGGCTCGGTAGTATGGATCTCGCAACCCTTCGGCCCTAATTTCATAATAGGTACCGTAAATCTGAGAGATATGCGAATTTTCTGCCTACACCCAGACGTGAAACCTGACCACAAGGAGTTCGTCATCCAGTCGCCGCGCAGGGGGTTTTAACCAACTGAGCTAGCGAGCTGGGCACTTATTGAAATAGAAATATGATCCGCTGTAGGTCGCGTTTTCTGTAGTCAAGACTCAAATCTGAAGAGATCACTATAATCAATGCGTGTATCAGTGGTAGCATCCTGTCCGAGCCATGTCAGTTAGACTCTCATTCTTCAGACCCAGAATATTCCTTTATGACCCTTCTTCAAAATCTGCAGGACTGCCTATTGCATAGATATGGGTATAATATTCTTTTGCACCCCTTAGAACAAAAACCAAACATTGTCTTCTGTTTTTACTAGTGCAGGGTTCTTAGCCAGAAAGCAAACACGTGTCAAGCATCGACACGTCAAAATTACAGGGATTCATGTGGATTTACTGTGCAGGAATATGCAGGAGTGCGAGGAAATAAAAGAGCAGATTTTCAGGCTGCAACATGACCTCTGTACTGGACAAAGGAAACATTATGAAGACTATTTATGAACAATGCTAATAAAAGACACAAGGTTAGAGGAAGTAGCATGTGTCACACCGTCTCTCCGTGGCTAGGTCGTCAAGTCCTTGCCTGGCCCTCTGACAGTCGTGGATTCGTATCACTACTGCGCCCTTCATTTCACAAGTGCAACTTTTTACGGGTCCATGGGAATCGTCGCCGGAGCTACAGAGTTCGTTCCATGCGCGGCGCTCTCGGCAGGCGGCTAGTCGATCTGAGGAGAGAGACGGAGCTGTATGGGATAAAACCCTGTGCAATGAAATCGATCCTCCCGACTTTAACTTTATACGTACACGATTAATTACGTGTGTGTGGATCGGGCAAGGAGGGATGTGTTAGAAGAAGAAAACTACAAGTTTTTAACCAGTGTGCTACAAGAACAGTTGGCATCTACACCTTATGACAGTTGCTGCCATCATATGTCATACATGACCTGAGTCTATTACCCCATTCAGTTCTCTTATGTGCCATGACTTCGATAGCAAGGATGGGATCCAGTCTGGCACATGTGGCTTCTCTCCTCAACGTTCACCTAAGAGTATCTTGTTTATATATCTTGTCTGAGTTTATGAATGTGTTTTTTATTTTACACTCGAATTTACACATTTCATGTTATCTTAAAAAAATATTACATTACTCTGATCGTTTAGGTTTCCTAATAATCTTTCTTCTTCTTCTTTTTTTTTTTTTGTAAACCATATGCAAGCTTAATGTGATTATACGTGAGATTGAATGAATGAATGAATGAATAGATGAATGAATGGATTAATGAGGGAATTATTGAATCAATAATAGACATCAATGCACTTGGGACATTCCTACATGTGCTCTGTCCCCTTATTCAGCAGTCAGTGAAGAGTCTACATTATACTATTACCAGTTGCAACCTTATTTAAAGTCTACCTATGCTTTTTCTCAGTGTTGTTGACTATCTTCCAGAATCTTTATCTCCCTCAAATCCCCCGCCCCCTTCCCTCCACCCCGTTGAGTTATTCTTTCACTGTATGAATTCTCTCTCTCTCTCTCTCTCTCTCTCTCTCTCTCTCTCTCTCTCTCTCTCTCTATTCTATTATTGCACTGTCATGTGATCCGGTTAATCACGTCCACTTTACATAAAGTAGCTCACCACCCAGAGGACGGCAGCTACTTATAAATTCAAGTGAGATGATTTGAGTAATTTCGTTGTTGTAGTTTTGTGACAGTCTGCTCGCTATTTATCAGCAGAGTGATCGACCTCTGTTGATAATGTCGCCACGAAGCATAAACTCTATAGACCCAGGGACGATCCTAGGGATCTGAGGCACTGATTTGTAAACTGAAAGACGCAGTCACCACACGAAATATCGATCTTCGGAGTTGGACTACTTTGTTACACAAGATGCGTCGATTCTTAGTTTATAACAATGACAACAGTTTACCTGCTAATGCGGTTGTGATTTCAATGGATACAGGTTTTTAACTTACCTCTAGTCTTAAGGTTGAGCCAAATCTCTGGCACCAAGCCTTATATTCATGACCCATTGCTGAAAGACGTTTTAGAAACTCCCGAGTTTCCAGGGCAATCAAAGAATTCCCTTCTAGATCGATTTGACATATTTTTGACCATGTTTCCAACACTCGTAGTACACCCCTGTGCTGAAAGGAGATCTCACAGCTTGGTGTGGTAATCGGTGAAGCTGCGCTGGTACTGGAGGCAGATACAGTTGAACGTTGGTCTGTGTTGGGGTTGTACAAAACTGGACTGGAATAAGATGCATGTGGATTCAGCTGTTGCTGCTGAAGTGGGGACAACGTGGCAGCTGGCGAGTACTCCTGCTTGACACTCAGGTGATTTGAGAAATTAGATGAAGGCGGGATACTTGGGAACTCAAACTGTGCTTGAGGACTTTGGCTAGAAGTCGAGGGATTTGGGGAAGGTGGTGCTTCGAAGTGAACTGTGATCGTTGTTGCAGTCACGGGGTCGTCTTTGGATGCTTGTGGAGTCAAACACGGTCGACCTCTGGAAACAAGAGGAGCTGAGGATGTAGCCGCTGTTACTGGGTGGTGCAGAACTCTCTCTTGAGATCCTCCAACATCTGTTGTAGTTATTGTTACCATTGAACCAGCTCTGAATCCACCACATGTCATTGGTGAGGGTGGAAAAATGAAGCTTGGGCGCGTGGGGCTGTGTCTAATGTCTGCAACATCAGTGTGGACATGCAATTGCCCTGTGGAGCTGTTAATGATGTTTGAGCGGTATCGGGAAGCAAGATTTTCAGGCACAGAACTGGACCTAGAGAAGATGGGAGATACTTCTACCTGCGGTGTTTCCATTACAAAAGTGGGAAGATTAATAAGCTCCCTTTGAAAAGCTACAATGTCCACTTCAGGAGTGGATGCTTCACTGCATGACCCGGATGTGGCCTGCCCCGCGCTGACAACACTATCCTGATGAACTATTTGAACGCTGGCTTGGGACTTGGATAGTCTCTTCTTGCTAGGCCAACGAAATAATTTCTTAGAAGTTGGTTGTCTTACAGGTATATCAAAGGTCACGGAATCAGATAGTTCTGGAGGAGTTACAGATCTCATAAGAACAGCTGCCGAATCTTTTGATTTAGATTTTATATCCAGATCTAATGGTGTAACTAAACTCTCTCCTATAGCTCTTAAGGCATGTTTTGTCGTTGTTCCATTTTTGCCCTGAACATAAGAAGACTGGTTTGATCCTTTAGCAGCAGGTTTTTCAGTTAGCAATATGTCCCTTTCATCAAGATCATTTGTGTGTCCTTCATCCTCATCTATTCCCGAATCAGAGATCATAACCCGAAGAGAAGGCTTAGGCTTAGGAACAACAGTTTGCTCTACTTGGTGGTGATTATGTTTCTGCTGTGAAGTTTCTGTGTTCTGTTGCTTAGGCTGACTGGTGTTAACATTCTGAGATGGCTGTTGTTGATTTTCTTTTGCCGTATCTGCATCTTCTTTGTCGGAAAGATCTGATTTTCTGGGCGGGTATATATCCGGCTTGTCGACAACCTTTGGAGGTCTCAGTTTGGCATTGGAATACAATGTTTTCCTACGAATCATATTGCCAAACAACTTATGGGACAGCAATCGCAAGACAATCACCGGATGTACAACCATAGGAAGTCCAGTCAGGAAGTATTCTCGTAGAGATAGCTGATTCATTGACTTCAAAAACTCTAGAGAACACGAAGGGGAAGCCAAAGGGGATACCAAAGGTCGCGTGTATGGACCCGGGCCTAAATCGGTGTCAGTATGTCCTACTAGGCTACTGCAGGATCCATTTAATCGAATGAATGGAGTCTGGCCCTCTCGCTCCTCACTCGAGGCTTCCTATGTAAAAAGATAATGTGCAATTTGAGAAGGGGAAGATAATGTTTATAGCAAAAATCATACAAATTAGTTCTTCTTCTGCTGCGTTTGCCCTTATAACAGCGGTTGAAACCTTTTCTTGTGGTGTGCAACTAGTATGATATATCTTCATCTTACAGCCAACACATCCGATTTCAAGACAGCATTAATTACTTGCCTTTTACCAGAAGCTTGTTAGGAGGACGCTGGGTTCGAAAATTCTAAAAAGTGGGTCATGAAGCCCACGTTGAATACATAATAATGATAATCAGTGTCATAAGTAGCTGTTTCAAAGTTGTATGGTACCAGACTTCACTGGCTACTCCCATTCGCATCATTTATCGTTTTAGACCACAATGCTGAAATGGCTTTTCATCGTTGAAAAAGAAGAAGAAGAAGAAAAAGAAGAAGAAGAAAAAGAAGAAGAAGAAGAAGAAGAAGAAGAAGAAGAAGAAGAAGAAGAAGAAGAAGAAGAAGAAGAAGAAGAAGAAGAAGAAGAAGAAGAAGAAGAAGAAGAAGAAGAAAAGAAGAACAAGAAAAAGAAGAAAAAGAAGAAGAAAAAGAAGAAGAAGAAGAAGAAGAAGAAGAAGATAAAGAAGAAGAAGAAGAAGGAGGAGAAGAAGAAGGAGGAGAGGAAGAAACAGAACAACAGAAGAAGAAGGAGGAGTAGGAGGACGGGAAGAGAAGGTGGAGGAGAAGAATAAGCGGGAGGTGGTCATGCCTTGATGGAGCAAATCATTTTTCAACTCGCTGCAAAGACTGTTAGTTTCCTACTATTTTCCACAAAATGATTAGATTTTTTCTTGCCAGAAGAATAAAACCGATGCTCAGATGGTAATCAGAATGCACAAGGTAAAAAAAAAAATAAAACAGTTGAATACCCGAATCATCTCTGCTATAACTCCTTCCATGGAAGCAGCCTCCATGTGACCTTTGCTGTTGAGCATGATGATCTTTCCCATGGCCATCAGTTCGATGAAACTATCCTCCGGTGAATGTACTTGCAATACAGTGTTCTGGTTGCTCTCTTGGAAAGCTGGGGATACAGAACGTGTGAAAGAATAAACAACCACTATCACACAGTTTAGCCTTTCTCGTATATAGTTAAGTAAAAGACCATTCTCATAACAGACTGGCGTACTGGCTTATAGTAAGGTCCCTTTACACACCAGAGGCGCATCGGGTATATCAGGCTGGATTGATATTTTTCTAGACTAATCGGCACTCGGTTGGTGATGTGGCCAGAATCACGCCTGCCGTATTTACTTTCCAGGACGTTACTGGTACCCGTTTGAGGCTCGGTCGACCTGGGAGCCGAGTTCATGCTTTGACCAATCGGCACTCAGTAAGTGATGTTGTCAGCATCACCCTGGACGCCTTAACTAACAAGGATATAACCTGGTATCCAGTTTAGGCTCAGTTGACCTTGGTGCTAACGAAAGTTTTGAAATTATAATTCACCTTGGTGCAGATTTAAATCCCAGACCTTCGGGAGAACAGGCGAGCGTCTAGCTGTTACGCCACCCGGCTGCCTGTAGATAACATTATGTTGTTGTAATCTGCATTATGTCCCAAAACATCCAATATATGGAATCTGTTTAAAAATCTATTCAATATATATTATATATATAATATATAATATATATATATATATATATATATATATATATATATATATATATATATATATATATATATATATATATATGTGTGTGTGTGTGTGTGTGTGTGTGAGTGTGTGTGTGTTTGTTAAATAGAAAACATTGATGGGAACTTATGTTTTTGACACCTGCATTCGGCCATCATAAAGATTTTCCACTGCATATGCTTTAGAAAGGAAGAAGTTCAGTCTTTAGAGGGAAGAGACATATGAAAGGTTGATGATGATGATGATGAGGTTGATTGTTACTTATAAAACTGCGTGGGTACGAGGAGAAATCCACAGTAGGATATCATTTGATGAGTTATATGAGCTAGGGCGGAATTTACTAGTCACAAGTTCAGACAAATGAAAAATATTAGTTGACACTGTTAAACAACGCACTAGGCTTAGATTGCTTTGCGCCCCCCCCCCCCCCCCCCCGCCCATCCCTCATACAAAAAATATTAAAGGGGCCTGCCACAACACCCCGCCCCTAAGTTTTCTTTGTTCCGGTGCCCTTCGCTAATCTGTGTATGTAAAGCGAGTTTACTTACGACTCTTGTTTTAATAAGCTCACCGTAATTGCAAACCCTGCCATCTTATCTGTAACTGACTGAATTTTAACCTGACAAGGAAATCACACTGACCGATAAACACTTGGTGACACAAAGTGCCACCATTCGGATGAGGAACACCCGTGGAGAGGTCCCAGAAACCCTGTTAAACTATTAGGTTATTTAAGGGCCCCCGGCAACAACCAGGGTGAGGCTTTAAAAAAAAAATGTGTCGCACGAGGGAATTGGTACCTTCTAAAGTCTCATCTGTGTTTATGTTCTCTAGCTTGACTGAAATGGCAATATATTATTCTGTAATATTACTGACTATTTATAGGTCCTATTCACGTTTACCCGTCCATCTACACACTAGGTGAAGTGTTATTTATACTTTCTTAGACTGTTCTACATCAGACGGGTGTCAAGTTGTCTTGCCTCCAATTAGATCAGCGCGGATGTGGCGAGTTCTATACTACATGACGACAAAGCTTTTAACGACACCAGAACATCTAGAACTGGCCTTAAAACCAAGATAAGTGCCCATAAGATAAGTGCCCATAAGATAAGTGCCCATAAGATAAGTGCCCATAAGATAAGTGCCCATAAGATAAGTGCCCATAAGATAAGTGCCCATAAGATAAGTGCCCATAAGATAAGTGCCCATAAGACGGCCTTGCATGTAAGGTAGTCACTGTGCTAATGTGGCTACGAAACAAAGAAACAGTAAGAAAAACACACAACTGAGCAACGCAAATACTTACTTCAACTGTAGGTTCCAGGGATATTGTTAGTAAAATAAGAACAGACCCACTGCCTCCCCTGCAAGCATGTTGTAGGGTGAGACAAATTGGGGATTTCATTTAAAGTCGGAATGCATCTGCCCTAGCGGCATGGAACAAACAGATGCACATAAATAAGCCAGTAAAACAGGTGTACATGCAACACTCAGACATTTGCACAAAGCCAATGTCCAAATGGACAAACAACTAGTATTTTTCGCCGGAGCTCACAGCCAGTGAACAAAGAAGAAGAAGAAGAAGAAGAAGAAGAAGAAGAAGAAGAAGAAGAAGAAGAAGAAGAAGAAGAAGAAGAAGAAGAAGAAGAAAAAGAAGAAGAAGAAGAAGAAGAAGAAAAACTTACGTCTTCTATCAAAGATATCCACCCTTCCACCGAGCTTGTGAAACAGGCCCATAAAGACGAGAATGCGAGCTGCGTGGTACTTGACGTATTTGGCGTATTTGGTGCTGTGGTTTGTGTAGTACCACTCATCAGACGGCAACAGCAACTGCATCAGCATGTCAGCGACATCGGCTTCAGACAGCGCACTGTGGTAGGCTGGCGTCATGGCAACACAGGCAAGAGCTTGTAGTAACAAACACAGAAGTTG